ATTTTAAATTTTTTAAATTAGAACAGGGGGTTCCTGGGTTCCTTCTGAGATTATACAAAATTAAAATTAGTAGGTTGTGTATACTATTTTTTTTTTTTTTTTTTTAATTTTTAATTTGTCTCATTGTTAAAAAATTTAAAAATTTTTGGGGCAAATGTTGAAAAGTCCAAAATTATAACAAAACTTCATTCCCTGAGCTTGTCATCTTGGCTAGGGGGGAATTGAAGCCTGCCATTAGCTGAAATATCCCGGGTTTTAGGTTAGGTTTAGCCTTGCAGCTTTCGTGATTCATTTGCCGTGTGCTTTGGGAAAAGATGGGGCACGTTGGTTTTTGAGACACTTTCGATTTCCCCAGTATTTTGTGTATTGACCATTCCCAGGTCGACCCCAAAAATTTGAAAACCCCCCGGGACCTTTTTATGAAGGTTAACGGGACGGGGGGTGTGAGGAACTCCCCCATATGTCTCGACCTGTATTGTATACATTATTTTTTTTTCCATGTCAAGTGGTTCTTTGCCTCTGTGTTTTGCAGTATAATGAAGTGAAATGTCAACAAATCTTTGTTAGTTACTTTATCTCATTTCCCCACTTCATGGGGTTTGGTCACTTTTCAAAAGAGGGAAAAAACTTTGGGGGTAAATGTGTGGTTTAAAAGATATTGCCATTTTCGTAATCATGCTGTTCCCACTCTTTGTAGTAGTTATAAACAAAACAAATTTTTTTTCTTTGTGCACTGTAAAAATAAAATATTGTTGAGCACAAAGAAAGGCCCCCCCTGCATGTGTGCATTTTGGGCAGACTAATCTTAACCCTTTCGGGGCCCATGCCATAGAACTACGACTAAACCAGGTTTTAAGGTAGCTAGCCAAATTCTAGGGCTTCAAATTTTGCATGGAAGGGTGGGGAGGCCTACATGGTCAGTGTGCTCATAAGAAAAAACGGGGAAAATGCCCCCCTGGATTTTGGGAACGCCCTCCAGTCGCTTTGTTCACCATACCTTGCGGAAAGGAACCTCACTCCCCAAAGGGAAAAATTTGGGATCCCCTCCCAAGTGTAGTTTAACACTGATGGAATGGATCTGAAAGGGATTTTTGGATTTTGATCATTTGTACTGAAGGCAAGCCCGGAAACAAAAAAAAGTGCCAAAAAATTTACGCCCTCAACCTTCGACCTTGGGGCCGGTTCCCCCATCACGTTCATTATACCCTTTTAATAAGTTTGGGAGAATTTGACAATATGTAAATAAAAACCCAGGGAGTAGGTATACCGTCCTGCCAAATGAGTGTAAAACGAAAACCTGTAATTGTTTTTTTCATGATGGGAAAAATTGCTGGTTCCATTTTTTCGTCCAAAACACCAAGGTTTCAGGTCTTGTACTTTACTAACTTAGGTCCACTCAATACGTTTTTTTTTTTTTTTTTTTCCAACAAAATTTGGCCCTTCCCCCCCAGGGGGGGTGACCCAAAAAAAAAAAAAAAAATCCCCCAAAAAAAAATGATTCTCTTATTCAAAAAATTTCACCCCACTCACACATTTCACGCTTTTGCAGAGGTGCTCAGAATACAACTTTTTTGAAGCATATATTTAAAAATACACAACATATCCCCCCAAACTGTCAAAATTTCCCCAAACCCTCCCTTTAAAATGCAGGCATTTATTCCCATTTCCCCGGATCAAGTCCCACAAAATGAAAATAAACCGGTTTTTCCCCGAACCCTTCCTAAATATTATCTTCACACTCCAACAGATTGTCAGGTCCCCAAATATCATTCGGTCCATTACTCCTACAAAACACGCTCATGCACGCTTTCTGGAAATCCCAACCCCTCGCCCAAAAACCTCCTTTACCCCCCCTTTTCCCAACCCCTTTCAGGACGACCCCTACCCCTCCTTCCTTCCCCTATAGATTTTTTGCTTTCCTGTCATTCTACTTTGACCATTTCCCTAAAAAGACCAAAACCCCCTCAAAAACCCCCCCTTTTTGCCCTTGCTAAGCTTTATTAACCCACACCCTTTTCCTAATTTTCACACTCCCAAATTTTTTGCATAATATTTACACCCCACATTCCTTAGCAGCAATCTCCACTGCCCCCCAACCCTTCCCCCGCTGCTGATTTACCACCCCGCTTCCATCCATATAAAAGGGGTTGGTACTACTATATTTCATACATTCCCTTCTTTTCCTCCATAGATAACGTTTTTGACTCCACATATACCTCAACGCACCACTCATTTTTTCCCCCATCAAATTTTATGATTAAACCCCATCCTTCAAAATCCATCCGCTGACACGAACTCCCAAGTATCTGAAAACATTCATTCTTCCATCTCCTCCTCCCCCAAATTTGATATCCAATTTTTCTTTTCTAAATATTTTATCCCTCTCCTTTACTCTTTTCTATGTTCACTTTCAACTTTCTACCTTTTTCACACATTCTCAAACTCATCCCCTAACTTTGAATTTTTTTTAAAACTCCCATAAGCAAGTTCATCACAAAAAAATAACTGTGCAATTTTCCCCTTTTCAATTTGATTCCCCATAATTTAATCCCACCCCCCCGAACACGCTAGCATTTTCTTCTTTTCAACCCCCTATAAAAATATTAACAACCATGGGGACTTAACTCCCCGTTAAGACCCATTTTACGGGAAGTATTTCCCTTTTCTACACACCCCAACCCGACCTCACTACCCATAAAAGCTCTTTACGCATTTAGTAACTTTCCCCCTATTCCATATACAGTATTGCAAAATTGCCACATTTCTCCTCTATCCACTCTATCATTTGCCTTTTTTAAATCCATAAATGCAATAAAACTTCCCCACCTTTATCTAATACTGTTTTTACTTATTTCTCAATGTAAAAAACTTTAAACTACACATCCCTACCCCTTGAAGCCTCCCTGTTCCGCAATCTACTTCTTCTTTCCTCTAATTCTTTAAAATTTTAACCCCACCCTATATTTTCCTTTTATACTCATAAACTTATTTCCCCTAAATTTTTTACATTCTTTTGTCCCCTTTCCCCTTTTAAAAGGGACTATAAAACTTTGCCAATCCTAGGTACCTTCCCCTCTTTCTACATTTTTTAAATAAAGTACCAACCACTCCAAATATACCCCCCCCATTTTAACATGGTCATGATCCCCTCGTTCCCGCTGCTTTACCCCTTTCTTCTACGAAAAGCCTCACGTACCTCCACCACCTTAATTTGCCTTTTTTTCACTCCTAAAGGATGGTATACCTCCCTGGAATGCATGAAATTCCCCCTCCCTTTTTCCTCAAAATTAAAAGTTCCTCAAAATATTCCGCCCTTCCAGATACCTCCCTTCCCCATTACTAACTCCCCTACTCTGTTTTTAACTGAAAATCCATTTTCCCTAGGTTTCTTAAGTTTTTTAATACTCCAAAAATTTTTTTTTTTTCATTTAAAAATTTTTTGACAGGCCTCTCCCACTTCATCTGCTCCCTTTTTTGCACCTCCCCATCTTTCACCTTTCTTTTCTCTCCCTATACTCGCTCTTTTTTATAAACTTCTGCTTTGTAAAAAAACCCCTTTATAAATACCTTTTTTTTTTTTTATCACACCTTTACTTTCTTCCACAATCACCCCCTTTCCCCTGCCCCCACCCTCCTAAACCCAAAAAATTCTGCCCCCCTTTAATACTGCATTTTTTAAAAACTATTCCAACCTCCTCAACCCCCATACTCTCTTTTCATAGCCCACCTTTTGCAAAGTGCTTTTATCTCCCCGAACTTCCTCCTCCCTTTTTATACACTTCACCCTCCCCCTTTTTGTTGTTTCCACCTTCCTCTTTTTTCCATTACCTCTTACTCTAACGTAACTTTTTTTTTTTTTTTTTTTTCTTTTTCTTCTTCAACAAGCGGCCGTTCCCCCCAGGGGAGGGTGACCCAAAAAAAAAAGAAAATCCCAAAAAAAATACTTTCATCATCATTCAACACTTTACCCCACTCCAATTATCATGCTTTTGCAGAGGTGCTCAGAATACAAAAGTTTAGAAGCATAACATATAAATTTCCAACTATCCTCCAAAATGCCCAAATCCCAAACCCCCCTTTAAAGTCAGGGATTTACTTCCCCTTTCCCGGACTCAAGTCCGACTATATGAAAATAACCGGTTTCCCTGAATCCCTTCACAAAATTTCCCCGCTCCACTCCCAAAAAGATCGTCGGGCCCAATCCCTTTGTCTCCTTCACTCCTACAACACGCTCAAAAACGCTTGCTGGAAACCCCGCCCCCTTTCCCCCAAAACCCCCTTTACCCCCTCTCTCCAACCCTTTCGAGGACGACCGCTACCCCCCCTTCCTTCCCCTTAGATTTTATGCTTTCCTGTCATTTTACTTTGATCCATTTTTCTAAAAAGACCCAAACCCCCCCAACAACCCCCCTTTGCCCCTTTTACTAAAACTTTTATTAAAATCACACCTTTTCCTAAATTTCCCCAACCCCAATTTTCTGCATAATTTACCCCACAATTGCCCTTTAAAAAAGACATCTCCCCTGCCTCCAACCGTCTCCTCGCTGCTGCATTTACCACCCAAGCTTCACTAATAATGATCCGATATATCAGTTGCCCCTCTATAAACATGTACATCCCGGAGCCTACCCATCAACCTTTTATCCACCAATACATAATCTAACAAACTACTTTCATTACGTGCTACATCATACCTTTTATATTTATTTATCCTCTTTTTCATAAAATATGTATTACTTATTACCAAATTTCTTTCTACACATAGCTCATATATACACACCCCGCTGGGTTTTCTTCTATTTTCTTACTACTTCTTGTTCTTGTTTATTTCCTCTTACCTCCATGGGGAAGTGGAACAGAATTCTTCCTCCATAAGCTATGTGTGTTGTAAGAGGCAGCTAAAATGCCAGGAGCAAGGGGCTAGTAACCCTTTCTCCTGTATATATTACTAAATGTAAAAGGAGAAACTTTCGTTTTTCCTTTTGGGCCACCCCGCCTCGGTGGGATACGGCCGGTGTGTTTAAAGAAAAAGAAAAAATGTAAAGTAAAAGGACACAAGTGCAACTAATGTGACATTTTTATTGTGGCAATGTTTCGCTCTCCAGGAGCTTTATCAAGCCGTTACAAACAGTACATGGACACAGGGTATATATAGGTTCAGAGTGAGGTGCAGTACTAGTGGTAGTAGTGATATAAGTTGTAGTAGTAGTAGTAGTAGTAATACAATATGGTAGAACAATTAACTTGCACATGAGTAAAATGAATATAAAAGCTATTACTTGGTTAACATAAAAATAGGTTAGACAAATATTTCTGTTGGAGGCTGAATAGAGAAGGCCTGTTTCAGTGTTCATTCTCTGTAATGTGCTTGTGTAGTATCAACAGGAGAGACAATGTGATGGCAGGGTTTACTGTTTTCAGGAGGATTCTTGCTAAGACTTCAGAGATGGTGAAGCTGCCTTTGTTTTATTTAATTGTATTAGAAACAGCAATTAGTGCTGATTCAAGGCACTTGCATATGCAGAAATTAGTTTCTTTGATCACTAATTGGGCGTTCCTGAATTTCTTGAGATGAATGGTGGAATTTCGGTTTTGTACACAAGCATTGTTCAAGTTATCGTTCCTACATGCATAAATGTGTTCATTGAGGCGGGTGTCGAGGTTTCTTGCTGTTTCACTTACATAAATCTTGTCGCAGCCTCCATAGGGTATAGTGAAACCCCCGTGTTGACTGGTTCGTGATGCTTTGATTTTGGCCTGGTTAGATCCTTTATTGAAGCGCTGGAAGCGATGGCAGCTCTGGTGTTAGCTTGTGAAAGTACTTTAGAAACATTCAGTGCAACCTGGCTGTTGGGAAGAATTATAACTTTGTTAGGAGTGGTGTTGCTGCTTTGAGAATTTGAGTTCTTGAATTGAATGTCATTATTATTATTATTATCACACTGGCCGATTCCCACCAAGGCAGGGTGGCCCGAAAAAGAAAAACTTTCACCATCATTCACTCCATCACTGTCTTGCCAGAAGGGTGCTTTACACTACAGTTTTTAAACTGCAACATTACCACCCCTCCTTCAGAGTGCAGGCACTGTACTTCCCATCTCCAGGACTCAAGTCCGGCCTGCCGGTTTCCCTGAACCCCTTCATAAATGTTACTTTGCTCACACTCCAACAGCACGTCAAGTATTAAAAATCACTTGTCTCCATTCACTCCTATCAAACACGCTCACGCATGCCTGCTGGAAGTCCAAGCCCCTCGCACACAAAACCTCCTTTACCCCCTCTCTCCAACCTTTCCTAGGCCGAACCCTACCCCGCCTTCCTTCCACTACAGATTGATACACTCTTGAAGCATTCTGTTTCGCTCCATTCTCTCTACATGTCCAAAACCACCTCAACAACCCTTCCTCAGCCCTCTGGACAACAGTTTTGGTAATCCCGCACCTCTCCTAACTTCCAAACTACGAATTCTCTGCATTATATTCACACCACACATTGCCTCAGACATGACATCTCCACTGCCTCCAGCCTTCTCCTCGCTGCAACATTCATCACCCATGCTTCACACCCATATAAGAGCGTTGGTAAAACTGTACTCTCATACATTCCCCTCTTTGCCTCTAAGGACAAAGTTCTTTGTCTCTACAGACTCCTAAGTGCACCACTCACTCTTTTCCCCTCATCAATTCTATGATTCACCTCATCTTTTATAGACCCATCCGCTGACACGTCCACTCCCAAATATCTGAATACATTCACCTCCTCCATACTCTCTCCCTCCAATTGATATTCAATCTTTCATCACTAATCTTTTTGTTATCCTCATAACCTTACCCTTTCCTGTATTCACCTTTAATTTTCTTCTTTTGCACACCCTACCAAATTCATCCACCAATCTCTGCAACTTCTCTTCAGAATCTCCCAAGAGCACATTGTCATCAGCAAAGAGCAGCTGTGACAACTCCCACTTTGTGTGTGATTCTTTATCTTTTAACTCCACGCCTCTTGCCAAGACCCTCGCATTTACTTCTCTTACAACCCCATCTATAAATATATTAAACAACCACGGTGACATCACATATCCTTGTCTAAGGCCTACTTTTACTGGGAAATAATTTTCCTCCTTCCTACACACTCTAACTTGAGCCTCACTAGCCTCGTAAAAACTCTTCACTGCTTTCAGTAACCTACCTCCTACACCATACACTTGCAACATCTGCCACATTGCCCCCCTATCCACCCTGTCATACGCCTTTTCCAATTCCATAAATGCCACAAAGACCTCTTTAGCCTTTTCTAAATACTGTTCACTTATATGTTTCACTGTAAACACCTGGTCCACACACCCCCTACCTTTCCTAAAGCCTCCTTGTTCATCTGCTATCCTATTCTCCATCTTACTCTTAATTCTTTCAATAATAACTCTACCATACACTTTACCAGGTATACTCAGCAGACTTATCCCCCTATAATTTTTGCACTCTCTTTTATCCCCTTTGCCTTTATACAAAGGAACTATGCATGCTCTCTGCCAATCCCTAGGTACCTTACCCTCTTCCATACATTTATTAAATAATTGCACCAACCACTCCAAAAACTATATCCCCACCTGCTTTTAACATTTCTATCTTTATCCATCAATCCCGGCTGCCTTACCCCCTTTCATTTTACCTACTGCCTCACGAACTTCCCCACACTCACAACTGACTCTTCCTCACTCCTACAAGATGTTATTCCTCCTTGTCCTATACACGAAATCACAGCTTCCCTATCTTCATCAACATTTAACAATTCCTCAAATATTCCCTCCATCTTCCCAATACCTCTAACTCTCCATTTAATAACTCTCCTCTCCTATTTTTAACTGACAAATCCATTTGTTCTCTAGACTTTCTTAACTTGTTAATCTCACTCCAAAACTTTTTCTTATTTTCAACAAAATTTGTTGATAACATCTCACCCACTCTCTCATTTGCTCTCTTTTTACATTGCTTCACCACTCTCTTAACCTCTCTCTTTTTCTCCATATACTCTTCCCTCCTTGCATCACTTCTACTTTGTAAAAACTTCTCATATGCTAACTTTTTCTCCCTTACTACTTACTCTCTTTACATCATCATTCCACCAATCGCTCCTCTTCCCTCCCGCACCCACTTTCCTGTAACCACAAACTTCTGCTGAACACTCTAACACTACATTTTTAAACCTACCCCATACCTCTTCGACCCCATTGCCTATGCTCTCATTAGCCCATCTATCCTCCAATAGCTGTTTATATCTTACCCTAACGGCCTCCTCTTTTAGTTTATAAACCTTCACCTCTCTCTTCCCTGATGCTTCTATTCTCCTTGTATCCCATCTACCTTTTACTCTCAGTGTAGCTACAACTAAAAAGTGATCTGATATATCTGTGGCCCCTCTATAAACATGTACATCCTGAAGTCTACTCAACAGTCTTTTATCTACCAATAAATGTCATCTGATGTTAAAAAAAATTGTTCCTATAAACCCACTAGACTATATTATTATTATTATTATAATCAAGGGGGAAGTGCTAAACCCATAGGATTATACAGCACCTGGGGGGGGAATGTGGAAGGCATTTGGGCTTAATTCGGGAAACTGGAACACAGATCCAATTCCCTAAATCAAGAGCCCCTCACCAACATCAAGGAACCTTCTGTGAGGGGCACTAGACTATAACCCAAATAATTTTTCTTATATTCATGTACATTGATATGCAGTAGACCATTATATTACACAGATTTAGTTGCCACGTTTTGGTTATTGCACTATTGAAAAATTGTGGCACAGTTTTATACAACACTTTGTAAAATTGACTTTACATGGTTCCGTTTGTGAGCACGAAAAAAAATTTCCCCAGCTCAAGCTGCCGTTTTGTTGTGGGTCAGCAGGGAAGACCTCCCGCCATCCCTGCCACCTGATACACCCGCTACCCCCATCCCAGCCTTCATGAGCACGTGTCCAGTACAAATGCTACCTAGGAGCTACCCGTGTTTGTGAATTGTGCTTTGATCTTTTAATTGCTATATCGTGTATCTGCCAGGCAATCATGGCACCCAGTAGGCATACCAGTGTTGCTGAAAGTGGCAAGAAAAGATATAAGCATTTAAGTCTTAGAGTTAAAGAAAAAAATAGAGATATTAGACAAAAGATAGCCTGTGGCCATAATGAAACATCATTTTGTACAATTAAAAAGAATGAATGTGGGGCAGAAGTTTGTGGTTATAGGAGGGTGGGGGCAGGAGGAAAGAGGAGTGATTGGTGGAATGATGAAGTAAAGGGTGTGATAAAAGAGAAAAAGGTAGCTTACGAGAGGTTTTTGCAAAGCAGAAGTGTTATAAGAAGAGCAGAGTATATGGAGAGTAAAAGAAAGGTGAAGAGAGTGGTGAGAGAGTGCAAAAGGAGAGCAGATGAAAGAGTGGGAGAGGCCCCTATCAAGAAATTTTAATGAAAATAAGAAAATTTTTGGAGTGAGTTAAACAAGTTAAGAAAGCCTAGGGAAAGCATGGATTTGTCTGTGAAAAACAGAGTAGGGGAGTTAGTAGATGGGGAGAGGGAGGTATTAGGTAGATGGCGAGAATATTTTGAGGAACTTTTTTAAAAGTTTTAGGAAGAAAGGGAGGCGGTAATTTCATGCACTGGCCAGGGAGGTATACCATCTTTTAGGAGTGAAGAAGAGCAGAATGTAAGTGTGGTGGAGGTACATGAGGCATTACGTAGAATGAAAGGGGGGTAAAGCAGCTGGAACTGATGGGATCATGACAGAAATGTTAAAAGCAAAGGGGGGGGTATAGTGTTGGGTGGTTGGTACTTTTGTTTAATAAATATATGAAAAGGGGAAGGGACCTAGGATTGGCGGGGAGCATGTATAGTCCCTTTATATAAAGGGAAAGGGGGCAAAAGAGATTGTAAAAATTATGAGGGGAAAAAGTTTTTCTGAGTATACCAGGAAAAGTATACGGTAGAGTTATAATTGAAAGAATTAGGGTAAGACAGAATGTAGAATTGCGGATGAGCAAAGAGGCTTCAGAGTGGGTTTGGGGATGGTAGATCAAGTGTTTACATTTTAAGCATATATGTGAACATATTTAGATAAAGGTAGGGAAGTTTTTATTGCATTTATGGATTTAGAAAAGGCATTGATAGAGGGGATGAGGAGCAATGTGCGATGTTGCAATATATGGAATGGGTGGTAAGTTACTAAATGCGTAAAAGCTTTTATGGGGATAGTGAGGCTACTTAGGGTGTGTAGAAGAGAGGAGAATACTTCCCAAAAAAGTGGGGTTTAGACGGGATTGTAATGTCCCCATGTTTTTTAAATATTTTATAGAGGGGGTTGAAAAAGAAAAAAATGCTGGGTGTTCGGGAGGGGGGTGGGATAAAATTTGGGAATCAAATTCAAAAGGGGAAATTACACGTTTTCTTTTTTTCTGATGATACTGTGCTTTTTGGGGGGATTCTAAAGAAAAAATTTCAAAGGTTATGGGTGAGTTTTAGAAAGTTTGTAAAGGTGAAAGTTAAAATGAACATAGAAAAGAGTAAGGTGATGAGGTATCAAATGATTTAGATAAAAAAAAAATTGGATATCAAATTGGGGAGGAGGAGTATGGAAGAAGTGAATGTTTTCAGATACTTGGGGGTGACGTGTCGGAGGATGGATTTATGAAGGATGAGGTTAATCATAGAATTGATGGGGAAAAAAAAGGGGTGAGTGGTGCGTTGAGGTATATGTGGAGTCAAAAAACGTTATCTATGGAGGCAAAGAAGGGAATGTATGAAAGTATAGTAGTACCAACACTCTTATATGGATGTGAAGCTTGGGGTGG